CCCCCACCCGGGCGGCGCCGCCGACTCACCTGCCCCTCGGGCCGCTCTGCGTGCCCCGGCCGCCGCCCTCCGGACGTCCCTGACCCCGCCGCGGGCACGTCCTCGGGGCGCTCCCACCCCCTTCCCCGGGCAGTGTCCTTTGGCTCTACTGGGGTCTGGGGCCGGCGTGGGCGACCCCGGCCCCCACCTCCTCCCAGCTCGGGGCTGCTGGGGGGTGGCTGGGGGCGGAGGGGTGAGGCTCGGGGCTCTCTCGCCCCCACCCCGCGCGCCTCCTTTATTTTATGATCATTGTGAGCGTGCTGTCTCCTCTCAGCCCCGCCGCCGCGCCGCAGCCGCCTGGCGCGCCCCGCGCTGCCTCGCTCTGCTGCAGCATCGGAAAGGCAACCAGGTCAAACTTTGCAGAAACTCAGCCCCTGCGCCGGCCTGGCCCCGCGTCCGCCCGCAGCCGCCGGCCGGAGCGCAGCGCACGCAGGGACCGCCGCCCGCTCGCCGACCCCGCGGGGATGCCGGTCCGCAGGCGGCGGCGGGCGGGCGGGCGCCGCCTCCTCCTCGCAGCCCGCCCTGCTCTCCACCCTCGCTCCCCGCACACAGCCCGCCCTCCCCCTGGTAATCCTCTCCCCTTCTCCCCCCAGTCTCTGCCCTCTCCCTGCAGCTGTTGGGGAGCTGAGCCTCTCCTTGCATAAACGACATTTCCTTTGTAGCTAGCCTCGGGAATTCTGGGTAGTGTAGTTCGGCTTCTGTCTCGGGTCCAGGTGGGATGCTCCTCGTGCCCTTTGAACTCAGCAGGCTTTCCCCAGCTCAGGACACGCGGAGAAGGGTTGCACTGCCCTGGTACTTTTGGCTCCGGTGGGACAGTGGCTTGGTGGAAACAGTGCAGGGACTCTGGGAGGCTCCAGGGCTGGGAAAGTGGGGGGTGGGGGAGAGAAGTTTGGAGAAAGCGTCCCCGTGTTGCTCCCTCTGCACTGGACCTCTTGGCACCCTGACAGGTGGTCAGGCCTGTTGGGGCCCAAATGTGATGGGCGCCGTAGATGCTTCATCATTTCATCCACCATCCATTGTGTGTAGAAGGCCTGTTATGTGTATTTCACAGAGCAGGAATCCAAAGCTGGGAGCCTTGAAGACTTGCCCAAGGCCCCACCCTGGCAGGTGTCCCAGCTGAGACTGGGATCCCTCTGGTCTGAGTGCAGAGGTTCAAAAGGGGTTTGACCCTGACAGCAGGTAGATGGCTGGGAACCTCTCTAAGCAGCCAGTAGCCCCACCCCCACCTTGCAACTATCCCCCAGGGAAATCGCAAGTAGTTTGTGACATCAGAAAACCCGGCAGCCACATTACAGCCATGCCCTCCGCCCGTAAGTCTGACTTCCAAAGGTGCCCACAGCCCCGCACAGGGTAGGTGGTTCCGGCCACTCCCAAGCCAGAGCATCTTGCCAGCCAGGGATGGCAGGGACTGGAGGAACAGAGGGTTCCGGCCACTTGGAGGTCTCTTCTTTGAGCAATGATCAGCCAGGCCGAGTGATCCATCTCATACCAGCACCAGCTCAGGCCACAGGCAGGAAGTGGCTACTGCCTCGTACCCAGCCACACCCCTGCCCTCACCCTGCTCACTGCCACTGGCCCTCACCCAGCCTAGTGGGGAGTCATCCCATTCCAGCTAAGCTAGTAGGTCGCTTATTTCTAGTCTCACTGACTGAGGCCAAGGCAGGGTGGTCCCCATGACCTGTTACTGCCACACGGTAGAACCTAGACAGCACAGGTCTCCTAATGACCCAGTGTAAATTTCCGTTTCCAGGAAGAAGGCTCCTATGGCCTCTTTTTTTTTTTTCTTTTTTGTGAGGAAGATCAGCCCTGAGCTAACATCCATGCTAATCCTCCTCTTTTTCCTGAGGAAGACTGGCTCTGAGCTAACATCATTGCCAATCCTCCTCCTTTCCCCCCCCCCAAAGCCCCAGTGGATAGTTGTATGTCATAGCTGCACATCCTTCTAGTTGCTGTATGTGGGACGCGGCCTCAGCGTGGCCGGAGAAGCGGTGCGTCCGTGCGCGCCCGGGATCCGAACCCGGGCCGCCAGTAGTGGAGTGCGTGCGCTTAACCACTAAGCCACGGGGCCGGCCCTCCTATGGCCTCTTAACCCACTGTGGACTCTCCCTGCCATGAAGTCATGGCCCCCCCAAAACATTATACCCTTCTGGGATTCACCACCACCTTCAACACCTTCTTTGCCATCAGATCATTATTATGATATTCAGTTTATATATAGGTAAGATATTAACTCATCTCCCAACCTCCATCACCCCTAGTGCCTGGAATAGAGCAGACCCCACTGGCCAGGATGCTCCCTGAGGGCAAGGATGCCGTCCTGGTGACAAGGACATGGGTGTGCCATGAACCTGTACTGAGCTGAGCATCTTTCTCATTTGACGTGAAAAGGACAGAGGCCAGGGCCCTAACCTGCCTCGCTAAGCGGCCAAGCCTCTGGGGACGGGTCCCCTCTATTCCCATTGGGAGTGATGTTACTCCCCACAGCCCTGGGCTTGGCCTGGGTTTGTGATAATGACGCTAAAGCACCCACTATGTGTCAGGCTCTGCGTGAGCGAGCACTGTCTCCTTTACCCTTCACCTGGACGGCGGGAGGTGGGCTGTACAGAGAGACCCAGGGGTCAGGGAGAGAGAGAGTGGTGGGACAGATCGGCTGAGTCCAAAGCCCACACTCAACTCCTCCCCTAGGGACACCACCCTTGCTAGCTGGGCCAGCCCCTTGGAGCCAGGATGGACCGGACACTAGAAAGCCCTGTCTCTGGTAAGTCCTACCAGAAGTGGTGCATGGGTGCCGGAAAGGTGAGGGCTCCTGTGAAATAGAAGACCCCTCTCCCTTAACCTCAGCCCCAGAGCTCCTTCCCCTTTCGTCCCACTCCCTCTGCAGTGCTTTGTCGGGGCTGGTTTGAGGGCTGGTGCTGCAGGAGGAGGCACAGGCAGTGTCCGTGGGCCTGTTTGCCAGTCCCTGAGCTGGGAACCAGCTCCCCCAGGGCCAGCCCGGACCCATAGAGGGTCTGCACAGGCTCGGCTCATGAGTACATTCCCTGCCCCAGCTCCCGACGAGCCTTCCAAGGTTCTGGCTGCTTCCCCAGCCCTCGGGCCCCTCTGCCCTCCTGCCTCCCCACGCAGCCCTTCTTCCTGCTCAGCATTTTCTGGCACTCCGTGGGTGTTGGGCACAGACCCATGGCTGTCTCAGCATATGTAGATAGCCCATGATGTGTCCACATGAGTGTGAAGCGCTGGCATCCGCAGAACAGAGGAAAGGGACATCTGTTTGAGATGCACCCAACACGACAGGGGCACACACCGGCCCCCAGACCCTTTCCCCTCCCTCAGACCTCAGTCTCCCCCAGACTTTTCTGCTGTGATGTCACCAGTGACTGGGTCAGTGGAAGGGTCCGGATGAACAGCCCCAACCCCTGCCTGGAGATGGTGAACTCCCCATTGTGACAACTTGGGAGCTCAAAGTGTTGTCAGTAGGAGGACAAGGTCCCTCAATTCCCCACTCATGGCCCAGAGAGGTTGCGAAAACCCAAAGTCACACGACAAATCAGAGGTAGAAACAACAAGACCCCGCCCACCTGGGTTTTAACATGAAGCCCCAAATGAGTCAAGAGCCCGCCGAGGTCTGGGGAAAGAGCGATGCAGCTTTTCCTTGCTGAGGATCACTGTGAGCCAGGGCCTTTGCACACATCATCTTCATGGCCCTCCGCAATGACCCGTGAACTGGTCCTATCATCATCCCGTTCTACAGATGAGGACACTGAGGCCCAGAAGAGGGAGTGTGGGTTGAACCCGGCAGCCTCGCTCTGAGAACCAGAGGCTGGGTGATTTGATGTAGCAGGTGCTCTCATCAGCATTCCCTGCAGTTGTGGGGACCTTGTTTTCAGTGGCCAGTGGAGAGAGTCTCAAGGCTCCTTGCCCCTCACGGACCAACCCGCATCTCAGGGCCAGAGCCGGTCCTCCAAGAGCTCTCTGCCTCCAAGGGTGTGGTTATCATGAGACCACAAAGGCATTTCACCGAAGGGAGAAGCTCTTGTTCTGCAGATGGAAATGTTAATGCTGGAATTCTGTTGCCCTGGGAGACGGGGTTCTCTCAGAAACTGTTTGGGACCAGACTGGAAGCCAATGGGTGAGGCTTGGAATGTCCACCTGGGAGACGAGCAGGCAGGGCTGGAGGGCTAGGCAATGGCTTTGGGGGGGGGGGGGGTGAGGCGGGCAGCAAGAGGCAAGGAGGCTGCAGGGCCCACCTGGCATCACTGATGCCCCTTGCCTCTGCAGGGAGCGGGCTCAGCCAGGCCAGGTTAGCACAGGCAGGATATCAGAGAGGGCTGGCACCACAGCCTCCCCTACAGATGGGGAACACAAGCCCAGTGGGGTCATCCAGAGAGGGCTCTGGGACTAGAACCCAGGTCTCCTAGCCCCCAGGTCAGTGATAATGTCACTCTCCATTGAGAGGCAGTGGCGTGGTGTGGGGGATGGCTGGGAGGCTCTGGGCACTGCGTAAAACCCGGTGCCTGGGGTGGCCGCAGGTCTGGAGGCTCAGGTCTTTCTAGCCACAGGCCTAGAGCCACATTTCTTCTAGGGCATGTTGGGCTTGGGACCTCTCAGCTGGCCTCCTCCTCATTCGCACGTGCATTCCTTCCCCAGTATTGACTGGATGCCTGCGCTGGGCCGAGCACTCAGAAGACACTGGGGAACGCGGCCAGGGCCACGACAGACAGGCATGGTCCCTGCAGCCCTTACATCCCCGTGAGCCAGAGAGATGTCAAGGGATGACTCCAGGAATGATCGATGGAGGTATTAATTAACATAAATAATAAATAGGTACAAATTCATACTCAAAACGGTTGTGAGTAAGTATTGAGTGCTATAAATCAGGGCGTGTATGAGGAAGCTGTTTTGATGTGCGTGTGTCCAGTATCGAGCTTGGGGACGGGAGGACAAAGGATGTGTGTTTCCGGGGGGGGGGAGTGGTGTGTGTGAGTGAGCATATCAGAGGTTAGAGTGTGTGAGTGAATATGTGTGTGTGTAGTCTGAGTTTGTGTGTCTCTGTGTGTGAGGGTATATGTGACAGTTGTGTGTAACTACGTGTGGGGTATGTCCAAAAGTAAGCGTATGTGTCCACGAGTGAGTGTGAGGGTGTATGCACGTGTGTCCATGTGGATGTGTGTATGAGGAGTGTGATGGTGTGAGTGACCGTAAGTGGTGTGGGTGTAGATGAGTGCGGGTGTATGACAGTGTGTGCGTTGTGTGGGAGTCTATGTGAGAGTGTGTGTGAGTGGATAAGGATGTGTCTGAGTGTGTTCTAGTTCTGTGAATGTATGTTCTGTATGAGCGTGTGGGGGGGTGTGATGGTGTGTGTCTGTGAAGGTGTATACGAGCGTGTGTGTCTGTGGGTGAGTGTGAGTGGGTGTCCACGTGGAGGTGTGGATGTGTGTGTGTGGTGGTGAGTGCAGGTGAGCAAGTTTGTGGGTGTCAGTGGGTGTGATATATGAGTGTGTGTATGTGAGAGTGTGCATGTCTGTGTCTGTGCATGCAGGTGTGTTGGGTGTTATTTCTGGGAGAGGGGTGTGTCTTTAAGCTGCCGGTGGGATGGAGACTCCGATGGCCAGATGGAGGTCACCAAGGGAGGGTGAGGGGCTGGTTCTTCCAGCCTGGCTCACAAGGGCGGTCCCTACCTGGGACCCCTTCACCTCGTGCCGGCCGCTCTCCCTGCCCCCCCATGCCAGATTCCCCATCGGAGCCTGCAGAGCTACAGTTCTGAATGTGAAACGCCTTTCCTTCCCCACAGGGCCTCTTTTTTTTTTTTCTTTGATGAGGAAGATTGGCCCTGAGCTAACATCTGTGCCCAGCTTCCTCTATTTTGCATGTGGGACGCTGCCACAGCATGGCTTGATGAATGGTGCGTAGGTCCGGCCCCGGATCTAAACCTGTGAACCCGGGGCTGCCAAAGCGGAGCGCGCGAACTTAACCACTATGCCACAGGGCCAGTCCCCCCAGAGGGCCTCTTGAACGCACAGCTGTCCCCGCAGACGAGGAGCCGACGGTCAGCGGCGCCCCAAGGTCAGGCGGCAGGAGCTGGAGTGTGCACGGATCCGGCCCGCGCACCTGGCGCCGCCCTGCGCGCCCCGCCCCACCGGCCGCCGTCCAGGTGAGGGTCCGCGTGGGGAGGATGCTGCTCTGGCCGGGCCCTGGCGCCCCGCCGCCCGGGAGGGACGGGGTCGGCGTCGCAGGCGGGTGCGGCCCGGGATCGGGCGCGGCACTGGGAGTTCTCCAAGGTGCTAAAATAAACCCGGCGAAGGATCAGGTTTCCCGACCGAAATAACCCAGGAGCGGCCTGAGAAATGCGAACCGAGAAAGCGATCCGGGGCGAGAGCGCCGCGGTGGGAGGCGGTGACGAAAAATGCTGTTCACACGGCTCCTTCCCACTCCTGGCAGGGGACCCCGCCGCTGCCCCTCCCTCCGCCCCCCTCCAGCTGTGCGTCTCCCCAGCCGCCGCCCCAGAGTGGAGCTTCTCACCCGCTCCCCTCCCCTCCCTTCTGGGGTCATTACCCCAAATAACCGGCCTCCTCTTGGCCATGGGTCTTTGGTGGCCAGGTTTGTGGTAGATTAAAGCCCAGGCTCCCGAATCATGTATTCATTCAATGACTATTTATTGAGTGCCTCCTATGTGTCAGGCACTGCCCAGGCACCTGGTCCCATAAGCGAACAAATACACAACGGTCCCTGCCCCGTGGGCTGACACTCTGCTAGGAGGACACAGGCATAAACACACTCACAGAACACACGAGTGTGTGGTGTGCTAGAAAGGATGCAGGCCAAGGAAAAGAGCAGAAGAGGGAAGGGGTATTGGGGTGATGTTGAGTCCCGGGGTACCCTGCTGGTTCCCTTGGCAGCCCGGATAGAATCCCTTCACCTGGGCTTTGGTGTTCTCATGTGTGCATAGACTGAAAGCTTGTCTATGAAGTTGCTGTGACAGGCAAACAAGGAGACACAGGGACATGCACTTGGCCCCGAGTCTGGCGCAGAACAAGTGTTGAGTACAGGTTAGTGATAAATATGCTTATTAATACTGATAGTCAATCTATCTTAAACATTTAAAGAGAACAAATAACAAGTGTCTACATGTACAAACTGCTCGACGTCCCACGAAGCTACCAGGAAAGCTCTCCTGCTCTCAGGTAAGAGGGAGGCCGTGTACCCAAGTGGTTAGGGGCAAGGGCTTTCGGCTGAGACCTGAGTCTGAATTCTGGTCTGCCTTTTAGCAGCCATGGGCCCCAGCAAGTCACTTCACTCCCCACCCCGCCCCTCCTTCAGTGATGGACAGTGCTAGAACAGGAAGGGTATGTGGACCAAGGGCCAGGTGGGGCAATGGTTCAGGGGAGGCCAAGTGGTCTGTAGGCATGGGTCACCTCAGAGTCATCTTCACCCTTCCCACTGGTCCTTGCATGATGCCTGATACACAGGCCTCAAGAAGTGTTCCATGAGTGAGCAAGTGAACGAGTGAGTGACACGTGAGGCCAAGCAGGCAGGGAACAGAGAAGGTGTGGGGCACATAGCCAGGAAGACAGCCCACAGGCTCAGAGTTACAGGGACCAGCTGGTCCACGTCCCAACTCTGGCCCTGACCAGCTGTGTGGCCTCACAGGTGATGTCACACTCTGGGCCTGCTCTTCCTCATCTCCTAATATGAGAAAAGGGTGGTTGGACTTGCCCTGAGGTATCTTTGATCCTGTCATGCTCTCCCAGGTCTGGGCACTGCAGTAGGTGGCCCAGGTTGGCCCATCAGATCTCATGGCGATGCATCCGAGCACACTGTTTTATTTGGCACTTGCCCCTTTAACCACTTATTTATATCCTGCTTTAGTGCACAGTGGTGTATGTATAAGGATGGCCATGCCAGAATAGTTTTGAATAGTCATAAAATGGAAACAGTCTACTTGTCCAGCAATAGGGGATGGCTTACGTAACGTATTCCCCATCCACATGACAAAATGCCAAGCAACCATCGAAAAATGATGGGTTGTCATGGAAACATGGCCAGTTTCTATTAAGCAAAAAGGATAGGTTATTTTTTTAAAGGGTGTACAATATGATATTTTTAAATGCATATTTGTGTATTTATATGATATAGATAGATATGGTTTGTTTAATATATATTCTTTCTGATTATTAAAGTAATACTTTTTTTTTTTTTTTTAAAGATTTTATTTATTTTATTTTTTCCCCCCAAAGCCCCAGTGGATAGTTGTGTGTCGTAGCTGCACATCCTTCTAGTTGCTGCATGTGGGACTCGGCCTCAGGATGAACGGAGAAGTGGTGCCTCGATGCGCACCCGGGATCCGAACCCGGGCCGCCAGCATCGCAGCGCGCGCACTTAACCACCAAGCCACAGGGCCGGCCCTAAAGTAATACTTGATTGTTGTAAAATATTTCAATAATTGGAAATGAGACAAATGAGCATCCCTTTATAACCTAACCACCCTCGGGTTAACAGTGGTGGTCTCTGGGCAGTAGGATTATACGTATATCATCTGTATTTATTGAATTTATTGCAGTAAGCATGTAACACTTTGATAGTAAGAAAAAAATAAAGCTATTGGTAAAATGATATTGCTTTATAAACTAGCTCTTTATTTCATGGGTGTGTATCCTATCCCCCAGCTAGACTACAGGAAGAGATCAATGAAAGCATTGATTCAATGAATGAATGCATTCTAAGACTCTTGAGAAGGGGGAGAATGCATTCTAAGACTATTGAGAAGGGCCTGTGGTAGGTGCTCATAAAGGGATGGGGCTTGCTTCTCAGCTGCCTGAGAATGTGAACAGGGTCACCTCACCTTACAGAGGGAGGAACAGGTCTCAGTCTGAGTAAGCTCTTCACACCAGCCTCTCACCAGCGCTCTGGGGGCAAACAGAGGTCAGAGGACTGGCAGGACTTGCCTGCAGTCACTCAGCTAGAGGTGGCTGAGCCAGGGTTGAACCCAGGGTGGTCCAACTCCAGAGCCCACTCTTAACCACTCCTGGGCCAGAGCCCAATCTGACTCCATGGCCTTCCCCAGTGTGGAGCCCACTGTGGCTCTCAGAACCTGCTGGCAGCTCTGGCCAGACTAAAGTGCTGACACAGGCCTCTGGGTATTAATAGCCCCTATCTGGGCTGGGCTCCTGTGCCCCTCCTGAGGTCAGCTCGGGTCATGGGCCCCACCAAGGGAGAGTGGGGTGAGTGCCCTGGTGGAGAGCCAAGTGAGCAAGTCCCGGTCCCTGTGATCCAAGGGATCTGAGTCCAGAGACCCTCATGTCCCACCCCAGAGACTGCTTTGGAGTCAGACCTCCCCTCTTTTGGGCCTCCTGGTTGGAGGCCTTCACGGCTCTGAGCCTCAGCTCCCTCATCTGGGGATGATATCGTGAGTTCACAGGAAGGTTGGTTATGTGGAGTCAATGAGCTAAAGCACGTAGAGAGCTCAGTATGCTGCCTGTGCATTCTGTGCACATCTCATGCATATCTGTCCAGGGTCCAGGATGAGGTAGCACAAGTCGTCATGGCTACCCTCAAGAGGGCGGGACATGACAGTCTGGGACATCCTCCTCTGTGGCTGGGTGGTCTGAATGGAATACTCTGGAAGAGGAATACTGGGGGGTCTGCAAGGAAACCGGACTGAGGGCTCCTGGAGTCTGGCTTCACCTCAGCCAGGTATGGGGTGGGGGTCAACCACAAGGGTGGGTCCTTCTGAAGGGGGTACTCAGAAGGGAAAGAGGACTGTGCCTCGTTTGTTAAGCAGGATCAATTCCTAACCCATAGGGTTGAAGGCTCACTATGTGGCAGGGACCCTGCTCAGCATCTTACAAACATCATCTCGTTGACCTCACCACAGCCCTTGGAAGGTGGACACTATTCTTCCCATGTTACAGGTGGAAAAACCAAGGCCCAGAGAGGCCAAGTGACTTGCTCAAGGCCCCACAGCTAGTTGGTGGTGGAACCCCAGGTCATCCCCCCTCTGTCTGACTCTGGAGCCCATGGGCTGGTCCCCTGTGGACAGAGAACCACCCCCTCCCCACCCCAGGCAGCTTCCTGACCTCGGGGGGCTCTGGACCTGGTACCCGGGAGGCTGTGGAGTGGGCCTGGGGCTTCATGGGCGGGCTCCATGATTGGAAGGGAAGTTTGCAGCCTCCAGCCTCCATCCCAGCTGGGCAGACAGACCTCGGCTGCCCTGAATGGTGAGACCAGGGCGTTCACTCCTCAGTCTTCTGGTCGCCCTAAACCAGTGACTTCATCCTCAAGCCTGGGCCAGTCAGCCCTAGAAGCACTGGAGACTGTGGGTTCCTGCAGTGGCCCACGTGGGAGCAGGGAGGCCAGACCAAACCCCAAATCCTCTCCTGGGCCCTCTTGGTCTGCCCTTTCTGGGTTGGCAGCCTCTCTTGCTGCCTTTGCCCCATGCACCAGCCACACGGGCCTCCCAGCCTTCACATGGGGAAGGCTCTCCCCTGCCTGGGCCTGTCACCTGTTCCTCCTTCCTGGGGGAAGCCCTCCACAACTCCCAGGGCAGACCCACAGCCCTGGGTCTGCGATCCTACCACACGTCCGCACACTTGCAATCATTTACGTGTGTCATTCGTTTACTCCCCACTGAACTGTGAGTGTCCCAGGGACAGGGGTGGAGTCACATTCTCTGCAGTATTCCAGGCACCTAGCCCGGTGCCAGGCGCGGGGTCACTATTTATGGGTCGCCTGAAGCTGCTGTAGTGCTCATGTCCTTCGCAAAACTCCGGGCAGTGGAGGCAACCTCCCAGGGGCAGATCCATAACCAACCGATTGATTACTCCTCCGTCTTCTGGAAATCAAATCATACAGATTGCCGTGTGATTGGACTGTGGTGCACTGAAGCCAAATTCAGGACTGATTGAAAAAAAAAGAAAAAACCAGCCTGCCAGCTAAATGAGATGCTACCACAGACGGGAGGGGCTGGGCCTGGCCCCAGGGGACCCGAGATGATGCTTTCAGTGACGTCATTCACTCTGTCTGGTGCCTGGAGAGGCCTTTGGCCTGGGCTCTGCTGTCCAGTCCATGGGACCAGGTCCAAGCTGCCCAGGCCAGTGGGGCAGGCAGGCCTGGCTCACAGGGGTCTGGACTGCTCCAAGGAGGCTGGTAAAAGCCGGAGTCAGTCAGGGGCCCACGTCTGGGCCTCTGGCCCAGGGCAGCAGCAGGACTACATTTCCCAGAGTCCCCCAAAGCCCGGGGAGTGAGCCATTGGAAGATTTAAATAGCCCAGGCCGGAGGCAGCCAGGCTGCAGCTGTGGACTCATCCGCCTCCCCGGTGGCTCCATTGGCGCTGGCCCGCATTGGGGGGCTCGATTGGCTGCCCAGCTGGCACTGACATCCCCTTGGAGCCTGGTGGCAGCCGGAGGTAAACAGCCATGTGCAATCTTCCACTCTATATTTAACAGCTGCCGCGGAGAAGGCAGGGAGGCAGGGAGCAGTGGCGGCTCCAGGGGCAGCTCGTCTTCGGAGAGAAGGCCTCGCAGCCGGGTGGGCACCGGCCCTCGCACTGTGAGCGTCGCCATGCCAGCCTCCCAGAGCCGGGCCCGGGCCCGGGACCGCAATAACGTCCTCAACCGGGCCGAGTTCCTCTCCCTGAACCAGCCCCCCAAGGGGGCTCCAGAGCCCCGCAGCTCAGGCAGGAAGGCATCGGGCCCCTCGGTGCAGCCCCCACCCCCTGGGGACGGGGCCCGCGAGCGGCGCCAGTCGCAGCAGCTACCGGAAGAGGACTGCATGCAGCTGAACCCCTCCTTCAAGGGCATCGCCTTCAACTCCCTGCTAGCCATTGACATCTGCATGTCCAAGCGGCTGGGGGTGTGCGCCGGCCGGGCCGCGTCCTGGGCCAGCGCCCGCTCCATGGTCAAGCTCATTGGCATCACAGGCCATGGGATCCCCTGGATCGGGGGCACAATTCTCTGCCTGGTGAAGAGCAGCACGCTGGCTGGCCAGGAGGTGCTCATGAACCTGCTTCTGGGTGAGTGTGCCCGCCGCCCGCCACCCACCCGCCAGGCCCCGGGGAGGGGGCTGCCCCGCCCTGGTGAGGACCAGTGGGGCCCTCAGAAACTGACTGCAATGATCTAATGAGGTTAGGCAGGAAGGGTGTCCCAGAAATAGGCAAGCCTCTGACTTGGGGGAGAGAGAACCAGGAATGCACAGACAAGGGCACCCTGCAAATTGGGGGCCTCAAGAATGGGGATACCCAGTGGGAACCTCTGAGGAAGGGCCCCACTCTTGGCAAAGTGCACCACTGCCCCAGAGGCAACTTGAAGGAAGAGCTGGGGGCTGAAGGCTGGCCTGGAGGGAGACGGTCAGGGGTCTGGTGGGGGTCCTGGAGCGGGGCATCTCACCGTGTAACTCCCGCCCCACGGGCTGGGGTCCTTGAGTTTCTTGCCACCTGCAGGAAGTCCTTGTGAGCTGCCCCCATGCCCTCCTGCTCAGTTCAGGGACCCTGCAAACTGCCCAGGATTCTCCCACAGGGCCTGGGGGTACAATCTGGGGCTCCCACCCACTGGTGGCCTCCTGGAGTCCTTCCCTGCTGCTTCCCTAGGTGAGCCGCTGGAGGAGAGGGCCCAGAGAGCTGGTCCTTTGGTTTGTTTTTCCCAAGTCTTTGCCACCAGCCTCTTTCAGTTTAGCACTGCCCTGTGCCAGATGCCACATGGGACCCATGTGGAAGGCAGGCCCCCCATCCCCCCAGCCCCCGTCCGGCCCACCCTCTGGGCACCTCCAGATCCCCTAGGTGCTCGGGGACCCTCTGCTTCCACCCTCCATGCTGCGCCCATGTTGATCCCCTCGCCCTTCCCAGGATGGCCACCATTTGGGGTGCAGGTGGGCGGGGGTCTCAGGCAAAGCAAACACTGACAAGGGTCCTAGTTCCAAAAGGAGTGTGGGTGGGACTGCTGAGAACTGTGGTCCCAGAGAAGTTCCAGTAACACGTATCTCCAGGCTCTGGTCTCAGGGAGACTGGGGCTGGACGCTCTGCGGGTGGGACGTGGGGAGGAGGAAATGGCCAGACGCTTCATGCAGGAGATGGCTGGTCTGGCACCATCAACATGCTCTTGTTCTTACGACTAAATTATTTACATCACATCACTTTATCCCAAATAAAATTTATCCCAAATAAACAGTCCCACGTGACTGGTGTGGTTATCATTCCCACTTTACAGATTAGGAAACTGAGGATCCTGTAAATAAAGCCACCCGGCCCTGGCTTCAGAGCTGGAGATTGTACCAGGTCTGCCTGACATCCACACCTGTGCTTTTTCCAGGTGCTGGGCCATGGGCTTGGGAGGGGGGACAGAGCAAGGTGACTGAGGCGCCTGAGGGGGGCTACTGAGGGCAGAGCCTGCCCTGTTATTCGCGGTTTCCCAGGTGCCAGCTTCAGCCTCATAGACAGCTGCTCAAGAAAACCGTGTTGGAGGTTAGGTTGCCTGGTGTCAGAGGACGGGGCAGGAGAACGTACTCAGCCTCCCTCTCGTCCTACCTCCTAGGCCCCGTCTGCACGTCCCTCCCCATATGATGGAGGTGGTGAGGCTGTGTTCGTAATTTGTTCAGTATCTACTATGCGACCGGTTTTGCATAAACCACACCATCACTTCCAATTGTCACCAGGAAGGAGAAACTGCTATCCTTCCCCATTGAAAGAGGAGGAAACTGAGGCACAGGCAGATGACTTACCGCCATCACGCAGCCAGTCAATGATGGGGCCAGGATTAGAATGCGGAGCAACTCTAGCTTGTTGAGATGAGGTTTCTGGCTCATTCCTGCTGTGGGCACAAAGGTGTTTGTTCCACAGGACGAGGAACAAGATTCGAGATGCCTCCCTCCTTGAATGAGAATGAGAGTCGTTTTAAGTTTTTAAAAACATCATTTATTGAGCTTCATTACGTACCAAATACTATGCCATGAACATCCCATATTTCATGATTTTAAAATCTTTTTAATGACCTTATAAGGTTAATATTAGTACACCCATTTTACAGACGAGTTAACTGAGGCTCAGAGGGACTTGCCCACCCCACACAGCTGTAAGTGGAAGGTCAAGGAACAAAATCCAAGTCCTCTGGCTGCAAACCCCTCACCTTCCACTCACCGTAGGTCTGCAGATCCGGTGTACCGCCCACTCCACAGAGAGACCACAAAAAGATAAGGGCCTGGCACAAACCAGCCACTTGACACGGGCTGCTCAGAGCAGGCAGGGTGGACTGTGGGCCTGGGTTACCTTGTGGGGATGTCACCCCAGCCCTCCAGCTTGGTGGGAGAAAACTGCAGCAAGTAGTCAAGGCGGGCTCTGATCCCACAGCTCTGGCAGGACCCACTAGGAGGGGCTGCCGACACCATTCTCCGCCGGGGAAAGACAGACCATCCGCTGAGCACAAACTGCAGGTTCTGTCTGTCCTTTAGTCTTGGGGGGCCTGGGGGTCTTGCAACCCTAGAGTACTGTGTGGTCGACTGGGCTTTGTCCAGGTCCTGGCTCTGACCCTTATCGCTCTGTGAACTTGGTCAAGTCAGTTCCCATCTCTGAGCCTGAGTTTCCTGACATGCATGTGGGGCTTCAGGGTGTGGTGGGGACTGCAGGGGAGCTGGGGAAGCACTTGGCACAGTGGGTGGTATGTGGACGTGCCCAGTGGGTGGCGGATGCCGTGTGGTGGGAACTGCAGGGCCCAGGGGTGTGAGGGAGCCCTGCCCAGTCCTGCCCGCCCACCCCGAGCACCAGGGCACCTGGCGATTCCTGGGTGCAGTGTGTGGGCTGGGAGCAGAGGCCTCCACCTCTGCAGTTGGAACCTGGGCTCCCCTCTGCCCCAAAGGGGCAAACTCAGGAGCCCCGGGAAACGGGAGCTCCAGCGCCCAGGCCTGGGAAGAGTCCCAGCTGGGCCGGGAGGAAGTTCTCTGCACTGCTCCCTGCGTCACCTCCCCCAGGACATGCTGCCCAGACTCTAGAAACCTCGAAGCCAGAAGGGGTCTAGGCAGCTGGCAAAACTTGGGCTGCAGAGTCGGCCAGACCTGGGGGCAGCCCCAGCCCTGCTGTGGGAACTCAGGCAAGTGACTTTGCGTCTCTGAGCCCCATTGTCCTCATCTGTCAAATGAGTTGCTGGGATGCTTCACTGAAGAATTACACACACAGCGCTTGGCACATACTCACACCAGTTAGTGCTGGTGGAGCCATGATTGTCACCATCATAGCCATCACCGTTATCAAAAGATGTCCCAGGTGTAGCCTCCCTCCAGGTCCCCTCCAAGCTCTAGACACCTGTGATGTGACCTGATCCCCTCCTCTGTCCCTTCCTGCAGCACCGGGCTTAATGATCCCAAATGGAGCCAGGTGACAGGTGACCCAGGCTCATCCCGGTTCACCAAGCCCGTCCTGGTTTCCTCAGGGGCCTGTCCTTGGTGGAAATGGCCTCCATGTCTTGTTGCCATAATCGTTAAAAGCATCTTTATTGAGATTTTCTTGATTATGAAAACTATACCTTCTTTTTCTATTTCATTTTTTATTGCGGTAAAATATACATAACATGAAACTTACTACTTTAACCATTTTTAAGTGCACAGTTCACTAGTACTAAGTACGTTCACATTGTTGTGCAACCATCACCACCATCCATCTCCAGAACTTTTCCATCTTCCCAAGGTGAAACTCTTCACCTGTTAAACACTGACTCCCCGTTCTCCTCTACCTTTGGTAACCTCAGTTCTCTTTTCTGTCTCTATGAATTTGACTACTCTAGGAACCTCATATAAGTGGAATCATCCAGTATTTGTCCTTCTGTGTCTGGCTTATTTCACATAGCATAATGTCCTCAAGGTTCATCCATATTGTAGCAGGTGTCAGAATTTCCTTCCTTTTTAAGGCTGAATAGTATTCCATGGTGTGGATAGACCACATTTTGTCTATCCACCATCCATCAATGGACACTTGGGTTGCTTCCACCTTTTGGCTTTTATGAATAATGCTGCTATGAACATGGACGTACAAATATCTGTTTGCTTTCACTTCTTCTGGATATATACCCAGCAGTGGAACTAGTGGATCAAATGGTAATTTTACGTTTAATTTTTTGAGGAACCACCATACTGTTTTCCACAGCAGCTGCCCCATTTTACATCCCCACCGGCAGGGAACAAGGGTTCCAATTTCTCCACATCCTCGCCAACACCTGTTATTTTCTGGGTTTTTGATACTAGCCATTCTAATGGGTGTGAAAGTCATATCTCGTTGTGGTTCTGATTTGCATTTCCCTAATGGTCAGTGACGTTGAACACCTTTTCATCAATTCTTATGGTGAAGAAAATCTCAAACATTACAAGGCTGGATGATGGGAAAAGCTAGCGTCTCCCTTCGACCCCTTCCCCAGGAATGACCTCTGTTGTGGTTTGTGTCACAGGCCTCCGAATTTTTCTCTGTGCACAAACTGCCACATCACGTGTTTCTAAAACGACCTGCTGCGGGGTTTTGCCCAGCGTGGCCTGGTTCTCATGGCCGTAGTGGGCCTGCTGGGCCGTGCGCCTCCATTGGAATCCTGGTCTTGGCCCCCCTGTCCCTTCACATCAAGCGTGAGGGGTTCAGACACCAGAACCCACCACCTCAGTCTTGCAGCAACCCCACCCTCACCCCCTGACCAGCTCGCTTCCCCTCCTCCCGCACTGCCCCCACCCCCCACCTGGCACCGACCCTCTGTATAATCTGTTCTGTCAGCTCTCCACCCCGTCCACTGGCTCCTGCTCCCGGGGACAGCCTACGTGACAGTCCCTCCACGAGGCTGGTATAGCCTGTCCCTAATTGATGGATATTTAGGCTGATCCCAACATTCACTGTCAGAAACCCTCCTACTGGAGAGGCCAGCTCCGCAGAGGTAAAACATTCCTCCCATTTCTCCTGCCCTTCCCCCAGGTTCATTTCTTATCATCTCAGTGGGGCTGAGCACTACAGTCGGTCCCTCCAAGGGGCCCTTGGCTGCGCCCCCTGACCCAGTCAGG